CTGCGGGATTCCTCCTAATCCGAAGTTCCCTTTGCTTGTCAGGAAAGTCTTTTTCGAGCACCACATGCTAGCCTCAACGGTGAGGGCCAAGACCCGTCCACACTTGGACAGTGCAAGTCTGAGTCCATCTCAAAGAAAATGCGATCCGGTGGTGGCTCTGATGGACCGGGGATATGAACGACTCCATGCTGGGGTGTCGTTGGAGGTGAAGAGTAGCGTTGAGGAAATGCAAGATGAGCAAGATTTGGTATTAGGTTTCTGATATGAATCTGTTCGAAGCCTACGCGTTTTGCGAGAGGTATTTCCCGTTGTCGGCGGCGGCTACTTCTCGGTCGCATGGGGGATCTCGGGTGAGCAATTTGGTAGGTTGTTGTTTGTTTGGAAAACCTGGGAGTAGATGGTCGCTTTCCTCAGCTGAGCTTGGGAGTTTCCTCACTATTATCCGGATTAGGGTAGAAGTGTATGAAAAGCAACAAGATCTTCTCGAAATTTCCTTGGAATTTTCATATTATCACCAACACATGTAGTTGATCATGTGTATTTTCTCGCACTGCCCCATGGAGGTTTGTAGTGAACACTGTTAGATCCGGCTGTAGTAGGAGAGTGAGGAAACTTGTTAGAGTTCTTCATCGCACTAGTTGCTGCGAATATCGGACGGATGCCGTCTGACGATATGAAGTTTCTCGGTTTTCTGTTGAAGTTTCTCCACGTGAAAGTCGACAAAAGCATACATTGGAGTTTCACCCGTTTTACGTGAAGTGGCGTAATACTCGGCGAAAAACGCGATATTCGCAGTAGTCGTGAAATAGATTTTTCACTAGTGTTTTTCATACCACTAGGGTGAAACTCCAATATGCACACGGTCACCTGTAGGGAAGTGGAAGAGGTACGGGTTCGCATTTCCCATTGTGTAGAGCATGTGCATAATAATAGTGTGGATGGTGGCGGTGACAGTATGTTGATGGTTTTACTGTTCTACTGTGCTCTTCCCCCTATAGATGTATATGCAGTTGTACCAGGGTATATTTATAGCTCCTGTTGGTAGGAGCGATTACCGTTAATAGAAATAGACATATTACTGTTCCATCTCCATTACTAATCACTATTATTTCACCTTTATTAGAAGTGCATGTTAGATGTAGATGTTTAAGATAATGGCATGTAAACTAGTTTATATATTTATATTGTTCATTTACGATGAGGGTGTCCACGTCGAAGTGTGGTAGTGTGTTAGGCGTTCCCTCCGGTCAACCTCCCTACTGCTGAGGAGAACTCCCTCGTTGAGGACTTCAATAGATTGCATTTTCTTGGGCCCTTTACACGGTTGTCGGTAGGGAGGTCAAGGAGTGTATACGACTATGATGAGAGTCACCGGAGGGGGTCCTCACCCGATAGTCAGCGTTCCTTTCGGTCGTCGCTACCATCAAGGATGGGGGTGGGCTCTGGTCACACGGAGTCGGTCTCCTCGTGGGAGGACTCCCATGCCCCTGCGTTGTCGGAGGATCTAGCCCTGGTGGAACGTGAGCGTTATAGAACGATGGATGATTATGATGATGATGATGAATACCATCTCGTGGACACATCGTCGGCAGGAGGGTGGTTCAGAATGCGGTATATGTCCCATGTAGCTCGCCAGGGGGATCGGCGTTTTGGGGATGCCTCGAGCGGACCTCTTCTGCACCTTCTGGGTGAGGGAGTAGGGCTGCCAGTGAGTGATAGTAATTATGAAGATGTAGCGGTGGCCCCTCGGGCGGTGGAGAGATCTTACCGCTCGGGGGAGGTATCTGCCTTACCTAAGGCGAGGTTGGCAGGGGTGCCCTCGAGGGGGATGGGGGCTCGGCAGAGGGAGCTGTTGCATCGTAGGACGTTGAGGCATTATCAACAACGCCGACTGAGAAGGAGCTATGCTCGTAGTGTATGCAGTAGCGTGATAGAATCCCCTCCTCCTCATCGTCGGTCGATAGTGCATGTTGGTAGGAGGGGGTCTGTGGGGCTCAGGGGGGATGAGGACTATTCTGGTATGATGATGAAGGAGGAAGATGAGGAAGTGTCGCCGATTGGTGTGGAAGGGCAGCCCACTCCCATTGGGGGGAATAGAGAAGACCAAATGCATGGGAGCACTCTATTATTACGGACACCACCTACTGGAAAAGGTACCCCACCACCCCTACCTAGTGGAAAAGGTACCCCACCACCCCTACCTAGTGGAAAAGGTACCCCACCACCCCTACCTAGTGGTAAGGGTACCCCACCACCCCTACCTAGTGGTAAGGGTACCCCACCACCCCTCCCTAGTGGTAAGGGTACCCCACCACCCCTACCTAGTGGTAAGGGTACCCCGCCATCCCTACCTAGTGGTAAGGGTACCCCACCACCCCTACCTAGTGGTAAGGGTACCCCACCACCCATGCAGGTGTTGGTAAACCCGCCGCTAGCATCAGAGGGTATGAAGCTGCGGCCACTCCCATTGATTCACCTAGGGGGAGCTATATGTCCCCCACTACCAGGAGCGGCCAAGGATCCTCCTCCCCCACTACCAGGGTCTGCCAAGGGTGCCCCTCCCCCACTACCAGGGTCTACCAAGGGTACTCCTCCCCCACTACCAGGAGCGGCCAAGGGTACCCCTCCCCCACTACCAGGGTCTGCCAAGGGTACTCCTCCCCCACTACCAGGAGCGGCCAAGGGTACCCCTCCCCCACTACCAGGAGCGGCCAAGGGTACTCCTCCCCCACTACCAGGAGCGGCCAAGGGTACTCCTCCCCCACTACCAGGTAAGGGTACCCCTCCCCCACTACCAGGAGCGGCCAAGGGTGCTCTTCCCTCACTACCAGGTAAGGGTACCCCTCCCCCGGTACGTGTGTCAAGTGGTAAAGGTTGTGCCCCTCTACCCCCCTGTGGCAATTCACTCCCTAAAGTCCCTCCAGGCCGGTCTCCAGTGTACGCATCGCCCCCACCACCCTCAACAGCAGCAGGATCACCTCTGGTCCTTCGGTCCCCGCCTCTCGCCTCCCCACCCCCATCAACTCCAGCAAGTGAGTCCTCCTCAATTCATCCTTCCTTGAACCCTTCCGTTGTTTCTCAGATCATAGGTCTCCACCCAAAAGCGGCCCCCGAACGAGTGAGTACCGCCCTTGGGTCATCCCACTATTCGCCATTTCCCTGTCAGGAAAAGCAGCGGCTTTGCCTCTGGGTAAGAAGCTCCACTGGAAGGCCATACCAGACCGGCTCATTGGGTCTACCATATGGGCGAGCTACGACGAGGAGGGGGTGAGTCGAGTTCTTCTCCGGTTCGTCCACCCCAGTATAGGAATATATGTTCGTTTTCCTCATGAAATAAAGAAATCGGGTAGCAATGTGAAGAAAATAGTAAGAATTTTCCAAAAAAAATCCGGAAAGTTTTCATATTGTCGGCGACACATGTAGTTGACCATGTGCATATTTCCTCACGCTGGTTTTCTCAGTCCTCCACACCGTCGGACGACCACTTGGGAGAAACCCTGGCGAGGGATGTGGCGGAAATGAAGACCGTTTTTGGAGCTTCTGGGAATCCTGATGAGAAAAAAAGCGAGAGGAAGTCGAAACTCGTTGGTGAGGATGGTCCCAGGGGCTGCCTGGTGTTGCTATTGGTTTTGTTTAGATGACCGACCAAAACTGATAGAGATCCTTGATCAGAAAAGAGCTCAGAACGCGGGGTTGGTGATGGCGCGGTTGCCTGTGGAGTTGTTGGTTGAGAAGATGGAGAATCTTGATACCGACAATATGGTGGATGCCTCCGAGGAAGAGGACAGCAGCAGTGCGGCGTTGGTACCAAGCTCTGGTGTAGGTCTCCGAGCGTCGGGTTTCGGGTTTTTGATCTATACTGGGAATACAAGCGTGTATGTTGTGTGAATTGTTCATAGGCTTTTTGTGAATTGGAATCAGTGGATTGAATTCATAGGACTTCTTTGATTCAGAGTGAGACTACTAATGAAGGCTTTGCAACGGTGGATATGTTGGAGAAACTGTCGAGCATATTGCCGACTCCCGAGGAGGCTGAGATGCTCCGGGCCTATCATGGCGACCTCACACTACTGCGGCCGATCGAGCGGCGGCTCCTACCTTTAGCGCTGATGAAACGGCCGCAGTTTCGAATCAAGGCTATGATAACGTTCCTGACCTTCCCAGACCAGGTAAGAGGTGAGGGCTCGTGCTACTGAAGAGCCTCCTCGTGTTAGTTGAGTG